CATGAAATTCCCAACAAAAAACCATGGTTTCTATAGGGGGTGTTTAATATTAGGGGGATGGGATGAGATCCGCCAGAAATTGGAAGCACCAATTAGCCCTCTCCCAGGCTGTCCACAAGACTTCCAGTTGCCCGTTCCACGTTGGCCAAATTTCGCATCAGCATTTCAGACATGTTCGCTCGAATTTGCTTATCCATTCTCTCAAGGCTTCCCAACTCAGAGATGATGTACTCGACGATGTCTGTCCTAACATGGTCCCAGCATGAATCTAAAAGCAGTTCAAGGATGTTCAAGGGTCGGAATGCTAATAATATCCAAACACCCAAAATCACCCAAAGGGTCGGACGAAGAAAACTGCACAATTTGTCAAGTGATATCGATGTACCACATGAAAGTCTTTGGGTTTCCAATGGTTTCCACACAAACGGGCTCAGCACAAAGACAACTCCGGTTCCACACGAAACGAGGTGTGCGGCGCGTGCGGATTTGCTTTTTCATCGAGTTTCTTGTCTTTCTCTGAAGTTGCCTCACATTTAGCAACTTGCAAAGACTTAATCTTCTTGCCCACCTCCAACGCAATGTCAAAGGAGCTGCAACCATCCTGCAGCAAAGGGCACATTATGGCACATTGGCATGTCATAGCATGTCCATATGTCAAGCATAGCTAACACAACACATTGTGACACGTTCACTTCTATATTATGTCGAACCACTGAACGACCCCCCTGACCTACTAGTTTTCCAAGTTTTCTATAGCCCCAAGTCTCTACAGTAAGGAGAATCTTACGACAGTCCGGCCAGCGAAGCAGGAACAAGAACTTGCCCGAAAATATGCACTGGCAACTGGCAACCATGAAAAGATTTGGTCTGTTTCATGGACAGAAACAATATTGGCGTGCCAAATTTCCAGGTAAAGTTGAGACACCCCTGTTTGCGCCAAGCAGCATCACCTATCACGCCAGCGTTGGTGACAAAACCCAACTCCAAGTGCTCCCGGCTGGACAGGAAATATTCGAATAAACACCAAACTCCTCAGCTCGGAAGTCTCTGCTCTTTGGGCAAAGGTTTTTTTTTGTGCAAGTGCCAAGAAAGTTTTTAGAAATAGAAGAAGATGAGACACTATGAGACAATGACAAGTACATTTCCTTCACTTCTTGACATGCCCCACAGTTGGTCGAGCCGCTTGTGAGAGGCTTAGTGCAAAGGCGCTCTCCATGGGGTCACTTCCCAGTTCGGCTCCGATGTTCCACTGGTTGTTCGCCTGGGCAGAAGTCAACTCGAACAAAAAACACATCTTTCAATATTGTCAATTTATCTAAAGACAATTGAGCCATGTTCTAAATGATTCTAAATGTCTTGTATCCTGGCAACAAATAAGGAAATGCTTACGCCTGTGCTTATGTTTTGCTTACGCACACACAGGTTTTGCTTACGCGGATATCTTGTCTTACGTTGAGCTTAGGTTGGCTTACGCTCATCAGAGTTTTGCTTACGCCATGCGCTTGCAAGGGGCCCCTTCCTAAACATGGACGCAAGGGTTTCGAATGTGGCTCAATTGTATCTTCTGTCTCAGTGGAACATTCCCATGTCAAAAGCTCAGAAAGATCTTCAGCATGGACATCTACAACATCCTACAACGTCACGCTCCACTGCCGTGTTTGTGAAACATGTAACATGTCAGTGGTGGCCCGTGTTCTCCTCCAAGTCGCAAACGAACAGATCCAATATGCTGCATAGAACCAAGAAGCGGGGCCCTCTTTGGACAGAGCATGGCACTCAATGGATTGCACTAAGTGTGGAAAGCTGCTGCCCCAGCAATGAGACCTTACCCAAAATGCTTGGGTGGCTTGGAGCGGCTTGGACAAGCCGAACAAATCAAGAAGCACTTTGTCAAAAGTAAATGCCAAGCGACACAAAATAATCGACCCGCCTGCCACCCCAAAGAGTTACAAAGGAGATTCGTTTGCTTTGTGTCAGGGGCATTACTATGTTGGCAACCACAAAGTGCATATTGCGCTCCAGAATGAAGCCTGGGGCAAGGCAAGGGACAGGACAGGACATTCAGATCCCAGGATTAACATGAAATTTACGGCGAAAAAAAAAATGCTGACAAGAACAAAGAAGCTCTCGAAGTGCTTCCACAAGCCGCGCAAAGTCAGAACCTCCAAGCCCTGATTGCGAGGATGGCTTGCATCAGACCCTGCGGCTGGCTTGCACTTGATCTGCTCACTGTACTCATCCAAAGCCCGTGAAAATGATGTCCTATGATATCGCCATTGGATCAGCCAGGCCACTGGCCAATGCAGCACAGCAGAAAGAGCAATCCAAGGAACAGTCATATAGATTGATGTAACCTAGGCAAGAATTGTCTTTACCAAAACAAAACACAAAACAACACTTTAACTCGTAAAACTATCATCCGTCCAACAAAGTGGTTCTCTTTGCAAGCCAAAGCGGCGGAAACATGACTCACACCGTTTCCGGAGATCACTGCTACTGGGATGATTACAGGTAGCATTGTTATCACTGATATGCATACAGTGATCAAGCCGAGCAAGTTGATAAAACCAGCGGCATGCAAAGAACCCTTGCACGAAGCGCAATCAAAATCGGGATTCGTGTTTTGCAGCAAAAGCCTTCTGTGTGCAATGTTGTGTACTTTGACTGCCTTGGTCTTCTTGGGATCAGTCTAGCCATCTCAAGCCCGTTCCCTTCGCCTGATAACGCACCCACCAGTGCACCAATCGAGACAGGCTATCGTGAAGATCAACTATGGGCCCTTGCACTGAAAGCGTGAACATCCTCTTGCTTTCAGCTTGTGTCGGGTCTGCCAAATCTGACTTTGCATCAACGATCACCAAAGGAGCCTTCAAAATCTCGAAGGCGAAGAAAGTCAAGAAGACCATGACTGCAGCACCTGTCAAAAGCGTGATCAACTCCGTCTTGCCTGGTAGAACATTGCAAGAATCCGTTCTTCCATCAGACCAGGCAATGAAGATTCCACACTTCTGACAATCGCCATTTTGAAAGAAGAAGTGGGGCTTACCTCAGCTACCAACTGGCTGCCAGGTAGAGAAGCAATCGGATAGAACATATCTAAAATATCGCGAAATGGCATGAACCCAATCGGGCAATATTGTCAATATCTGTCAATTGATCCATTGCAGGACTAGTTGCAGAATGTGCACGTCTCGAATGTTCTTTCCAAGGGCACCAAATCTTGCAAGTTTTTGGCTGCAATCCTTCCATCTGCTGTCTGCAGGCTCCAAACATCAGCTATAAATATGTCATAATAGATAACATAACTATATATTTATATACACTATCAAACAATGGTACAACATGGTACAAATAATTGGGGTTTGATGATCTAATTCTTCTGGTAGCCCTGGATGTCTTCCCACCAAGGGCTGGTGAATAGCGAGCTGAGAGTCTGGTAGCCGGAACAGTTGCAATGTTGTGTCTTTCCTTTCGACCTCGTTGAGTGGTTTCCAGCAACTGCGAAAAAATATCGAAAAAACTATGAAAAACTGGCATGACAATGGATGGCATCTGAAGCACCCATGAATTAACTGAATGTTTGTCTTAGCATGTCTTAGCAACCAAATGAGAAATTAAGACGCCTAGAGAACTTTGGCAAAAAAATCCACATCTGTTGTGGCACCAAGTGGCACTGTGGCTGTTTTGGAGCACTGGAGATGTTCAGAGCTCACGGTACTTAGCTGCTTTCCGTCCTTCGTTGCACTCAAAGTAACGCCCCAGGTGCAGTTCTGGCACGAAACAGTCAAAGAGTCGATCTCGAAGCCATCCTGCACAAGTCGCTTCTGGTTTTCATGACTTAATTAATATAAACGCATGATTTAAAACAATGTAAACCATAAATAAACAATAATAAACATATATATAGCAACATGTGGCAAGCTGTATTTCACTATATTTCACTTGCGCCGACCCACCAGACTTTAGAAAACCAGATGCCATCGGGAAGTGGATCAATGTTCAAATATCGAGGTGGAATGAGGTCCCCCAATCGGACCAATCCAAAAAGGGCAAGGCCGGAGAAAATGTCACGAAAGAAAAGTATATTTAAGTGAATTACAGTACAATTTTAAGTTATATTCTGAAGATTTCTCCAAAAGATTCCATGCTAGCATCTAGAAAAAGTCAAAACCCCCAGATTCAAAATAATCGCACGGGCTATGTACAACAAAAATGTAGAAGGACTCTCACTTCACTTGATGTGCGGGAAGAAACTACCGATACGAGTCTTGCAAATGTGACAAATGTATACAAATGTATACAAATGTGACAGCACACACACACACACACCATCTGGAGTGGAGGATCAGAAAAAAAAATCCAGATCAAAAAAAAAATAAAACACTAGGATCTTAAAAAAAATATTGCCTATTTCATCTAAATTTAGTGGTAGGTTAGGTTTAATTTTTTTTGATCTGGAAATATTTTTCTTGATCCCCCGAGGCTAGGGGAGATCAAGCTGCTCGAAAGCATCAAAAAAAAAATATTCAGTTTTTTTTTCCCTTTTCCCTTTTTCCTTCCTTCGTTCCTCCCTCCCTCCCTCCTTCCTTCCTTCTTTCCTTTGTTCCTTCCTTCCTTCTTTTCGGGCGCGAAATTAAGTTGGCAATTTTTTATTTTTTTTGGCAATTTTTTTTTTTGGTCGTCCAGGCTCCCTTCCTTGTTTTTTGCACCTAAAATCTCTCATTTGCTGCATTTTGTAGCTAAAATATCTCATTCGCACTGTTCATTAATTTTTCCAGTGGTTTCATGAATTTTTCCATGGTGCTTATCGAATTTTCCATTGTTTCATTGATTTTTCCATGGTTTTCATGGAATTTTCCAAGATGTTCATGGATTTTCCATGGTTTTCGTCAATTTTGCCATAGTATTCTTCAAGTTTTCCATGTTTTTTTTCAATTGCTCTATGGTCTTCTTCGATTGTTCCGTGGTTTTCTTCCATTTGTCAATGGAATTTTCTATGTTTTTTCTTCAATTTTTGTATGGTGTTCATTCATGTTTTACTGGTGTTCATTCATTGTTCCAAAGTTTTAATTGATTTTTACATTGTTTTCATTGTTTTTTTTTCCGAAGTGTTCATTGATTTTTGGAGATACATGATGTGCAAACTATTAACTGTAGATGTATAGAGGTATACATGCATGACTAATCATGACTATATGCATATGTAGATCAATGAATTTACAAGTGCAATTAATATATCTGCAGGGTTTGGTCTTAGGGTTTATTTAGGGTTGTTTTATGGTTTATTCTAGATTTGTTTAAGGTCTACTTAGGGTTGGTTTTAAGGTTTCTTTAGGGCTGGTTTAGGGTCTGTTTAGGGTTTGTTTAGGGTTGGATTAGGGGTTATTTAGGGATACAACATGTACATACAAATAACTATACTTATGTGGACGCATATGCATGCACATGATTATTTACAGTTTATTTTGGGATGAAAGCTGTGTATATAAACAACCATATGTATATATATATACAATATATATATAATTATATATACAATGTATATATATATATAGTCTAACCAAACTAGTGTATTGAAATGTGTGCAAGCTTGAATTTAAAGAAAAAAAGCGGGAGGGGGGGATTGGGGGGGAGGGCTGAAGAGGGGCCCTAGCGTCTACTTCAAGATCAGCTAAGGCGTCTTCCCCAATGACAGCACTCTTTTACTCTCAGCCTGTTGCCGGTCAGTGCTTGTCCACAGGGTTACTATATATACCTCTTGAGCCTTGAAGGGCGCATATAAATGTGCTCAATACTCATGCATGTACCTATGTAGGTATTAGGTCGAAACAAAAACACAGGCACAAATTCAAAAGCAATGAGTAGAGCACTACGCCTTGTCGTACCCAATTGGTATTAAGAGTATCTTCCTGTCTTTTCTACACAATGGCAAATAGCAAAAATAAACCGGAGTTACGCAGTGGCTTCGAATTGAAAAACACGTGAAAGCAGCGAATGTCCTAAAGACATGCCGAAAAAGAACAGCGGATTCGCTAATTTTTCCAGTAGCGACCAATGGTGCTTCGCGCACGGTCTCTCCACAGGCAAAATGCCTTGCTCTACCGGTGAAAGTTCGAATTGAAAAGTTCGGTTCGCAAGATTCAGAAATTCCGGTCATACGAAAAACAATTGACCAAATCACGAAATAAACGGAAATAGCGGATCTCCAAAGTTGCTCATTCAAGCGAACAATGGACAGAAATCGAAGTTGGTAAGTTTTGGAGTTCGCTCCATTCGGAGTGGTCTGCTCGCAGAAGTTTCATGGAGATAAATGTGTATAGTATCTCTATTTACAAGAGTATCTATTTTACATTAAATTGAAGTTCGGACACTTGTGGCATTGTCTCTATCTAAAAGAGTATATGCCATCTTGTGGAAATAAGTTGATGCACAGAAAACTGTACACGGTTTCTCATGCTGTGTTATCTTCAGTTAAAGAAGTATACACTCACTCATCGCCAATCACTTTGTCTCCATGGTCTGGACGAAGAAGATGAGGATCCACCCCAACCAGTGTTGCCCTGATATGTTGATGCTTGATCTTCATATGCCTTTCTCTTTTTCTCCTTCTGTCTTTCCTTTCTTTTGTCAGCATACTTCATCTTCATGTTAGCTGGTTTGTAATGATGTCGCTCATTCCACGGCATATCAGAAGGATCCAAATGAACAAGAATTGGATTGTGTGCATCACGATCATTTGGAGCAACCATAAAGATGTTATGATCACCATGTAAGCAAGTTTCATTTACCTTGAAGTAAAATTCACCCACATAGTTCATGTGATCTTCATCCTCAAAGTATTCAGGGTACTCCTCACACACCAGACGTGAATGACCCCACTCAACAACTGTAAGCATACAACAATCACCTTTGCCCGTTGTCTTCTTCATGAGCTCGTCGGTGTATGAATCTGTTGTAATGCCATCCAAGTGCGTTGCAAGAAAATCAAGATCCCGATAACTGCAAGAAATGAAGTGCTTGACCCTGACTGGAGGGTATGTTGAATCATAATTCTTGCGCATGGCTTGTGTTGCAACACCGATAATCCTGTTAATCCAGAATTGTATGAGGCTGTGTTGATACGTAGGGACACCTGGAGATTTTGGTGTTGTGTAATAGCATGCTTTGTTTCCATCACCTGCGATGATGTCAACTTGATATCTAGCACACTCAAAAGCCATAACAGCTAAACACTCACCAACAATATCAGGAGAGTCTGACGCATACTTCTGTCCAACGTGATAAACGCACACACGTTTCATCTTCATCCTGGCTCGTTTCAAGTCAACAATCTTATCTGTATCACGGTCCTTTGTCTTTCCCCAAGATACTTCAAAGATTGCCCATGAGACTTGTCGAACTCGTGTGTCGTTGTCATCTGTGTGATATCCAGCAATTTGCTTGATATAGCCGTCCTTTCCTATGCGAGCTGCCACCATCAAGTCATGATAGTCATTGAAGCAAGTTTTCAACTGCACCTCTTCGAGTCTCTCTCTGTGAGGATATAGTGAACCAGCTTCACAATTCATGAAAAGATGTCCTCCAAAGTTCTTGATGACGTTGATGAAGTAATTGTTGAACTGGGTCTTGTTCTCGTCAAATTTTTCATGTTCTTCATCAATACTGTAGTCAATGTGTGGAATGAATTGTTGAAATCTTTCTGGAACAGGGCATTTTTCAAATCTGTTTCTGCACCAGTTTCCCAAATTCCAAAACATCATTGTAATCTGTGGAGAGGATCTGTATGGAAATTCATCATCTCTGTACTTTGGGTCTAGCAGGCCTCCACCTAAATATCTGTAAGCCAAGCTATGCAAGATCATACAGTAAGGCCAGGCACGACCTTGTGTTCCTCAACATAAGATTGAAGTACTCCTGACAGATTTCCAAAATCGTCATCAATTCTTCTTTCTGCTTCTTTTGAGGCTTCTTCTGATTTGTTTTGATGAAGAGGATGCATCCTTGGATCACTACAACCATATTCGATGTTGTTCTTGAGATCATCTAGTTCTTGTGATGGTTGTTGATCTTTGTGTCTGGCAATGTACTCGGCCATCAACTGTTCATCTGTAAGATGGTACCAATAATCTTGATGTGGAGACATAGTCTTCCTGTACTTTATATGCCAAAACATTTGTCGATGTTTCGAGGATGCTGGATAACCTTTATTGTAAATTCCTGCCCATTCACCATGATAACCATCTGTGAAACAATCCTTCAACTTTCGAAAAACTGAATCATCTTCGTTTCCAGTGATATCTTGATCATAGTAAAATCTCTGTGCAGGTTTCACTTCTGGAGCTGTCTCATCATCTTGAATGTCTGTCTTCTTCTCCCCTGATTCCTCCTTCTCTGAGGAGCATTCAGGTGGAGCTGGTTCCTCTTTCTCACAAGAGCTTCCAGCTGGGACATGTGGCTCCTGTGTGTCTTCTTCTTCCTCTTCGACAACAATCTCCTCTTCTTCTTCTTCTTCTTCCTGTTTTGCCTCTTCTTTGACAAAGCTCTCTTTGATCTTTTGCTGAACATTCTTGTTGCACATACTAATCCATTTGAGAGTACACTCAACCAATTTGTCATCATCAGTTTCCAAAATGATATGCTTGTCCTCAATGTTCAAACTTTCAATAGTGTTCTTGTACTCAGGATCGGCACTACCTTGTCCTTGAAGATCAGGAAGAGGAGTATTTGGATCATCGTCCACCAAATCTGGATCCTCCATATCAAGGAAATTGTCTGCAGTGATGTGCTCATTGTCCTTGAGAACCTTTGT